ATTAAGTGAATGTATAGTGTACGTAGATCTCAATAAGCTATAATTATTCACTGTATGACAACGAATAAATCTATTACTTATGAGTCAGTTTAATAAATATTTATAGTACATACATGACACTGAAGTTGATGTTAAAAATAAAGAACAAAATAAAGCAATATAATTCACTCAAATTTACCTTTTTATCTCTTTTGATAATTTTTGAGTTCTTGTCATTTACTGGTACATTACAATTCTTTTGAAATTCTGGTTTCAAAACATCTTGACTTAACAATCCATCAGCAGAGTTCATGATTAATTTATTGAATTTAATCTGTTTTGTCTGAGAATGAGGTAGAAATTATCCAGATGAACAAAAGTTTCAAGAATATATATTTAATTTTAATAAATATCAAGCCTAGACTTACTCGTTACTTAACACCAGTTTGTCATTGATTTGATTGATGGGAGATCGATTTGGACCGGTAAATGTTTAATAAATGTTTAAACCTTGAATTTATTGATCGTGGAAACGCGTAATGAGTAACGCATAGCGAGATGGTTGCTTCACTTTAATAAGTGATAACAAGGGTATGAGCTAACCATGGTTCTAGATAGTTTTTACAACCGAGGATTTTACCGAAAGAAACCAAAGATGTTACTAAACTGTTAAGACTACGGTACATTTGGTACGTTGCCTAATCTAACCAAAGTGCCGGACTTGCTGAACCGTGTTTCTCGACAACCGTAATGATGAACGTTAAGTATTTATTCCTCTTCTTTAATTTCGTCTGGACTTTTGCAACTGTAGTCCTCCATCAACCATAACGGTGTTTTCAATTTTCTCGTTGTCCGTTATGGTCGTTCAAAGTTTTGTTAAAGTTTATACATCTAAGGATTATCAACAGAAGAAAATTGAGAATTTTTAGCATCAGAGTCAAGTGGTATAAAACAACTGCTTTAAAAACATAAATTAAATAATACTAGTAATGTTAAATAGTGTATTTAATCTATGGTTTAATACAAACCTGTTCATTGCTCTAAATCAGTGATCTCCAACTTCTTCTATTCTACGCCCCTTTGTAGATTTTCAAAAATCTCACGCCCTATAAATTGAAAAAAATTGATCACCTTTTTTGTGTACTTTAACAATAAACTATACAATATTCGGAATGACTATTTTTTTTTTTTGATGATAATAATTATAAAATATAAATAATATGATAGTAAATAATAAAATGTAAGGTAAAATATTATAATTAATAATAAATTAGTAAAAATTATTATTAATAGTTAATAAATATGCAAATAAAAATCCATAATGATAATAATTATTGGTGATGCTGACGATACTTTTATTTGGACAGTTTTTTTTTATGTTTTTATATTGAGCTATTTGATAAAGAATACCTTAAGTCAGATGCGACATCTAAACGATTTCTATATTTGTTTTTTATAACTGTCATGCTCAAGAATCCAAACTTCATACATTTGGAGGGACCCCTAGTCACAGCCTAAAATAAACTACACTTTACAAATACACAATTATTTAATAATACTATATTATTATTTTATAATTAAAAGAAACTTTTTTATAAAATTCAAGTAAGGTTGTTATAATATTTTAGAGTAATATAATATTTATTTAACAATGAGTCCATTGAGTATTTGAGTAGGCATATAACATACCTATCTAAACTACTTAAACAAATTTACTACATAAATATGTAGTGAAGTATAATATACAACAGTTGTAGGTATTTAATTTGATATATTTACAAATAACATCCACTAACTAATGCGAAGCGTGTTTTAAAAATTTAAAAAAAATTGATACTTTTAAATAAGACGTACAACAGAAATAAATCCTAGGAAGGGGCCTAATATAATCACCGCATATGGGCTTCCTACTTTGTAGTTGCGGCACTGGTACTGAATGAAGAACTTGTTAACATATATTGCCAACTTTCATTCGAAAAAATTTGGAAAATATTGAGTGAGTTCATCTGTCGAGATGTTAATCACTATATCATTCAACCCAGCAGGACAAAATGGTTCTTCTTCATCAGAGAGAAGTTCGTTCAGTCGACAGAAAGACGAAAAATCTGGAATCTCTTTGTTTACTCTGTGGTTTCAAAGCTGTATTGTTTTTAGAAATGTATTGATAGAATCGTTATGCGATTATGACGTTGGTATTACTCCCTTGTAATTTGAGATTTAAGTTATTAATAGACTCAAAAACATCTGTTAGGTACTTATAGTGATTATTGATTATCCTTTACTGACACCCGATAACGGATATAGAGAACCGGAATTATTATTTTCCTCCAACTTTTAAAATTAAATTAATTTAATCAATAAAAATTGTATTTCGTAATAACTACTTGCGCCTACTCAGTAATGTGGATACGCCCCCCAAGGGTGACACCCCCCCCCTCCCGGTTTGAGAACCAGTGCTCTAAACTAATGAGTAACAAAATTCAATGATTTCAACATATAATTATCTAAATTGGTTGCTGTATGAAAATGTATACTAGAGAGAAATTATAAATTCAAATGGTAGTCATGGAAAAATATGTTGTTGTTTGTAATCTAAGGAAAACGCTTGTCAATAAATGAAATAGTATACTTAATGTTTTCAGTTCTTCCGAAGTATTTGTAGATTGTTATTTATAAAAATTGCTTTTCTTACTCTCAAGTGATGTGTACATAATCACACACATATATATAAATCTCGTGTCACAGTGTTTGTGACTACTCCAAAACGGCTTAACCATTTTTAAAGAAATTTTATGTACACAATTTGGTAGGTCTGCGAATAGGTGTTTATCTATATTTTATACTTCTAAGTGCTATTGTTTAGTAAATCATAGTTAATTTAATAATTTTTGACCTGGTCGATAACTGCGCAATTGAAAATGAATTATTAAATGATACTATTAAAAAAATTATTAAAAACTAAAAACTATTTAAACTAATTTTTTTTTTCATTAAAAACGAGTATTGCATAAATATTAAATAACAAAATTCTGCAACAGATGCCAAAACAAACAAGAATGTTAGTTCGAAGGATTATTTTGCACATCGATTGATGATTAGACTCGATCAGGACAACGTTATTGTATGATGCGTGAGTTTTGTCAACAATTCATAGTCGACATGTATGTAAAGATAGAGAACGAGCGATTACGATACTTGCGATTCAATCAAAAAAAGCTGCGTGCGGAAGATTTTCAAAACAATTGTTAGATATCGATGAAGGGATAGTTACTTTGCTTCTTAATTTGAACCCACCACGGTTGTGTAACGGCACGCGATTAGTCATTAAGAAATGAATGAAAAATGTTATCGAAGCCATAATTTTAAATGGCAAATTCTAAGGTGAAAATATATTATTACCTCGAATCTCTATTATATCCACTAATGTAGGGTTGCCATACGTCCCGGAAAACCGGGATTGTCACCGTTTTTGGACTTCGCGTCCCGGTGTCCCGAAAAATGTTTTCGGAATGTCCATAAGTCCCGGCTTGGACGTTTAGAAGAAATTGTAGTATTGTTTAATTTTTCATTTCGACCATTTTATCTCAAAGTACATTTTTAATCGTAATCGATTAACAATATATAATAAAAATACAATTTGTAATTTACACATATAAATGTATAATATATTTTATTTCACAAAAATATTTTTAAATATTATATTGCAGGCCAATAATGATCCTCTTCAGTGGCGTATACATTACTTTTGTATGGGGAAGGGATTATTTGCAAGCAAATCATTATTTATTTTTACGCTTCTAACGACCTCACACTAAGAACATTATTTTATAATATTTAATAAAAGGCCTAGGAGGGGGGATCTGATTCCTCCTTGAATACTCCACTGGTCCTTTCAATATATTAAAAGTTATATAAAAAGTATATTACTCGATAATGTGTTTGTTTTGTCCCGGTTTCACCTTATAAATTTATGGCAACCCTACACTAATGTGCCAATACAATTTAAACGACTTCAATTTCCAATTAGATTAGCATTTGAAATGGCTGTTAATAAGTCTCGAGGACGTATGTTCCGCTAGCAATATTTGATAAGGAAGCCCAGTGGTTTCTAAAATTGTGACATTATTGTCGATCATCAAATTGTATATTAAGTTGCATATCGTGCTCCTAACCAAAATAGGTTCTTGCAATATTTTATGATGCGATGTCGACGACTTTGAATATAATTTAAACATACTTAGAAAGCCGAGGACAACTCGTTCAAAAAACTAAAACGTAGGTAAATACGTGGTGAATCGAAAACCAACCCGAAAACGAGGTCAGTGAGCTCGCGAAAATGTCCAGAATACGTTGAATTATGAGACAAACAACATTCAGGTATTTATTGGCTTTAGCATAATATAACATAATGAAAATACAAGATATATAACTACTTTCTTTTCTTTTTTAGTTTTTTCATTTTCCTATTTTCTCTTTTAATTTTAGCTGCCAGTTTAGGATTAGACATTAATATATTCTTATATCGCTTTTTAGCGCTTTGTTTAAATTCCACATCTGCTAAAAGTTCGTCAACCATTGTACGTTTCCGTTCTTTATTGATAAGACGACCGGTTTTACCTTCATATGGTGAATCTACAACTGTACCAATCTAAACACAAAATATAAAAAATTTATTAAAAAAATTACATTTATGTTTGAATATTTTATATATTTACCTGAAAGTATTTAGGATAAGCTTCAGTTTCATTCTTTTTATAAAAACGTTTAGTATCTAATGCAGATCTCATACGGATTAAGTCAAGATCATGTCGTACACTGTCTGTTAATTTAGTAGCTGGTAAATCAAACCAATTTTTTCCTTTAGTTTTAGCTTCTTGCCTCTAAAAATAAATTAATATATAAATAAATATTTAATGTATGTAATCATTTTTTTGAACAAATTTCATATTAATATACTATAAATATCTCATCATATTTTGTTAGTTTCTATATGCAGGAAAAGAACTTTAAATTGTCAATTGCACATATGACGCATGTACAGTATAGACTGGTATAGGTAGAATGATTAATATGCATTATAATACAATATACAATTTCTAAGGCACAACATTAATTTCAATAGAATTTTGCAGTACAGTTATATTTTGTCTACACATATAGATTATGTAAATTTGTCTCAGTACATATTATTTTTTCTTTAGTTTTGTTTCTTAGACGAGAAAATCATGATGACTATCTTAACACTCTAACTTTTTTAATATTTTTGTACCTATATACTAATTATTTGTACATTAAAAAATTATAAATGGATTTTAAACTAAATGTAAAAGTTATTCATACTCAAGTTTTTTAATAAAAATATAATTTACCTAATGAATTCATACTTATAGGGCTTACATAATAAAATAAAATATATAATAGATAAATATAATAAAAATATATAAATTTAAAATACTTATTGTGGTACATATTATTTAATTATTAACAAATAGTTTTTATAGTTAAAAATATATTTATAAAAATTAGATTTTTTTCTGGTGTTCTAATTCATTAAATATTTACGAACCACTACCGAGTAAACTATATAAACACAACATTATAAAGTACTAATTCTTATATTACAATGATATTTCATGTTTTAAATAAAGTAAATAGCTTAAAAAATGTATTATGTTACCAGATTTTAAGTAATTTATAAGTTTCAATTTAATAGTATTTTATTAATTACTAATCATTTTCTGTTATCTAATTAAGTGAATGTATAGTGTACGTAGATCTCAATAAGCTATAATTAT